GTAGAACGTGCAGGACTTTCAGGGGTCGGAGCCAGCATGCTGAGCTGGGCCTGGAAAGTTAACTGGTAACCAGTGCAGGGACTGCAGAGCTGGAGTAAATTGTTCTCTGCAGCCCCCATCAACAGCCTGACAGCTACATTCTGGACCAGCTGGCTTTCCCAAACCCTTTCAAAGGCAGCCTCCCTAAGGGAAACGGACAGCCTTCAGGCATGAAAGGCAATAAATACATTGGCTCTGCAGCAGGTTGACTGCTTCACAAACGGTTTTTTAAAAAAATGTCTCCCCTGATTTCTTCCAAACTGGTCAACACTGCCTGTCGCCTATATGTGACCTCTCAGTTACGCTGCCGGCTCAGCTTCATCACAGTCCCTCTGGTGCATGCCTGGGAGAAACAGGAGGAAGCTCATTTATTTAGGAAATTCACAAGCTGCCTGTCCAGAGGCCTGCTCAAAATCATCCAGAAGTGCCAGGGAAACTGGTTTGGCCGCGTTGGGGGTCATGCCGATCACAGCAGGGTACAAAATGCCCCAACAAAATGCTGTGGAAAACACCCCAGTGCATTTCCAGCCTCTGCTCTTTTTTGAATGATATTTTCCCACTTCTTTCACAGAAGGCTGAAGTTACCTCTGTCCCTTACAACATGCAAAGGGAAGAGAAACCGTCTCTTACAAAAGGCAATGGTGGACACAAAAGGCAACGGTGGGCACCCTGTGAACTGAGGCAGATCACGAGCGGGAGGGCAGGAAGGGCGGCCTCATTGCTTCATTCCCGTGGCCCTTTCTGACACGCCCAGGGAAATGCTGATTGCCACTTCGGGGTCAGGAAGCAATTTTCTCCAGGCTTTTTTTTGAGCTGGGCCTGGAAAGTTAACTGGTAACCGGTGCAGGGACTGCAGAGCTGGAGTCAATTGTTCTCTGCAGCCCCCATCAACAGCCTGACAGCTACATTCTGGACCAGCTGGCTTTCCCAAACCCTTTCAAAGGCAGCCTCCCTAAGGGAAACGGACAGCCTTCAGGCATGAAAGGCAATAAATACATTGGCTCTGCAGCAGGTTGTCTGCTTCACAAACGGTTTTTTAAAAAAAATGTCTTCCCTGATTTCTTCCAAACGGGTCAACACTGCCTGTCGCTTATATGTGACCTCTCAGTTATGCTGCCGGCTCAGCTTCATCACAGTCCCTCTGGTGCATGCCTGGGAGAAACAGGAGGAAGCTCATTTATTTAGGAAATTCACAAGCTGCCTGTCCAGAGGCCTGCTCAAAATCATCCAGAAGTGGCGGGGCAACTGGTTTGGCCGCGTTGGGGGTCATGCCGATCACAGCAGGGTACAAAATGCCCCAACAAAATGCTGTGGAAAACACCCCAGTGCATTTCCAGCCTCTGCTCTTTTTTGAATGATATTTTCCCACTTCTTTCACAGAAGGCTTGAAGTTACCTCTGTCCCTTACAACATGCAAAGGGAAGAGAAACCGTCTCTTACAAAAGGCAATGGTGGACACAAAAGGCAACGGTGGGCACCCTGTGAACTGAGGCAGATCACGAGCGGGAGGGCAGGAAGGGCGGCCTCATTGCTTCATTCCCGTGGCCCTTTCTGACACGCCCAGGGAAATGCTGATTGCCACTTCGGGGTCAGGAAGCAATTTTCTCCAGGCCAATTTGGCCAGGGATCCTAGAGGTTTTTTATCATCTTCTGGACGTGGAACAGGGGTCACTGGGGGGATGTGAGGGGGGAGGTATTTGTGAATTTCCTGCATTGTGCAAGGGGTTGGACTAGATGACCCTGATGGTCCCTTCCAACTCTATGATTCTGTCACAACCACTGGCAAACAGAGTGTCTGTTCCTTGGCTTATAGATACACTATATAACAAAATAATTGCCCTCCTTGCAAGATATTTTCACTGGCTGGAAATACACCTCAGCAGTGGGTGTTAAGGCAGGCTGTGTACTGCTTGGTGCACCTTAGTGTTCATGCATGTGCATTTATATGCAAACGCACTAAAGATTACTTCGTTTATGCCCTGCCTGCCTTTCCAATAGGAGCCCTCACCCTTCTCAGAACAGCCCTATGAGGGAGGTTGTGGGAAGCGCCTGCAGCTGGCCCAGAGCATCGCAGGTTGTTCTCCTCTCCTCCAGGTTATCCTCCCCAGAGCTTGGTGAGGTGGGCGAGGCTGAGGAGGTGTGGCTGGCCCTGGGGCACCCAGCAAGCTTCCACGGCACAAGTGCAGATTCAAACCTGGAGCTTCCAGATCCTATACACCACTCTAACCACTGCACCACACAGACTCTTGCGTGAGATGAGATCTATCCACGCCCCAAAGATCTAGAGAACCCAGGGGAGGGAAGGAAACCCGAAGAATGACAACTCCTAGCAACTCAAGCTAAAAAAAATTCATATCGCATCCTCTCAAAGTTAAAAAGTAGGGGACAAAATAAAGCCAGTAAGTGAGCAAAGACAGGCATCAGAAAAGAGGGACTGCCCCTGGTAAATAGAGAGAGTTGGACCAATTGCCACTTCTAAGGCATGATTTTTCCTGTCCGGTGATGCTAACAGTATTGCTCCTTAGATGAAAACAGGGGGTGGGCAGCATAGAGCATACTTCTAGCCTCGTTGTAAACATTTACTTAGAATCATAGAATCATAGAGCTGGAAGGGGCCATAGAGACCATCTAGCCCAACACCCTGCCCCATGCAGGACCAGCCTAAAGCATCTCTGACAAATATTCGTCCAGCCTCCTCTTGAAAGCTGTCAGTGAAGAGGAGCTCACCACCTCCTTAGGCAGCTGATTCCACCTTTGAACCACCCTGACAGTGAAAAGGTTTTTCCTAATATCCAGCTGATACTTTTCTGCATGCAATTTAAACCCGTGGCTTCGGGTCCTCTCCTCCGCTGCCCACTGAAACAGCTCCTTGCCCTCCTTCAAATGACAGCCTTTCAAATATTTAAAGAGAGCAATCATGTCCCCCCTCAATCTCCTCTCCTCCAAACTAAACATTCCCAAGGCCCTTAGCCTTTCCTCGTAGGGCTCAGTCACCCTACACTTCTCAGGGAAAAAAAGGAACAAAAAAGAGCCTTCAATGAGAGATTACAAGGAGGGTGAGAAGAAATGCATCAAGTACAGGAGTGAATTAATATTCTGTTCAGGCAGCTTCAATGAACAAAAATGCAGGCATTTGAGAAATCACACTCAAAAATCCTGAGCAATTTCCAGCTCAAAAATTCCCCCCCCACACACACACATATGAAAGCTGCGATATAGAGCCATCTGCCTTTGGCATCAGAATGACAATTTGTTCAAGTCCCCTTTTCTGGAGGAGGAAATTGGAAGGCGAGGAGAGGGCAGCTGGTTAAGATGTCAGGATGGCCACCAGGACAGGAGGCTTCAAGATTAAATGGTAACATTCTGCCCCTCCAGACCTCACCATCAAAGTACACATTCTGGTTTAGAAAACAAAAGATAAGATGGGAGCTGCCAGCCAGAATCGAATTTAGTAGTGCTAATGGAATGCCTTTGAAAGCGTCAGTACTCTGGCACCTCCCTCTGGCCTGCCAATGGATCTGGTCTCTGGAGCGCACCAGAAAAGACAGATGGGCCATCGAGGATGAGTTTCCACTGCATCGTGCTGTCACAGGAGGGTGCTGGCTGTGAGCAGGGTCAGAATTACAGCAGAACACGGAGATGCACTAGGCCTGGCCAGTCCCCGTCCTCCCCCCCCCCCCACGCCATGATCCAAGGTGTACCCTAGAATACACCCCAGAGTCTTGTGCTCATGTGAGTGTAGGTCCACTGAGGATTTGTCCCACGTCCCATTCCAGGGCCTGACATCTGAGGCTGAGTGTGAAAGATTTCTGATGGCCATTACATCATGTTTCCCAGGAAGGTCAGATCAGGAAAAATTAGTATTACTACTGGCAGATAGGGATAAAATTATTACTTTCAGAATTGGAAGGTCTGTTGCTGCCGTCATAAAGATAATAAAGACACACTATGGATTACGGCCGTGCAGGCATTCCTCAGCAGATGTAAAACGGAGGGAGAGCGATCCTTAAATATAGAAAGTGTGAAAAGCACTCTTTTGGAGACCATTGCCTATTCCTATTGCAAACTGTGCTTAAGAACCCAGTATTTGGGGCTCTTACTTAGCAGATAAGGGTTGCTTAGTTGCCCTTAATATCACTAGCTAAAATACTTCCATAAAGTAATGTGAGATGGGCCGTGGCCCAGTAGAAGCACCTCTTCTTTGCATGCCGAAGGCCCCAGGTTCAGTCCCCGGCATCTCCAGCTAAAAGGGCCTGGCAGTAGGAGATGTGAAAGACCTCTGCCCTGAGACCCTGGAGAGCCCCTGCCAGTCTGAGCGGACAGTACCAACCTTGATGGACCAAGGGGGTCTGAGTCAGTAGAAGGCAGCTTCATGTGTTCACGTGTGACAATGAAATGTACACTTAAATTCCATGGCACACCACCTAGTCTAGTGCCGAGGAGCTCTTCTGCCCCAAGCTGAAGTAGTAAAGGAATTGAGAGAAGGGGACTCCTCCAGCGGACAGTACCAACCTTGATGGACCAAGGGGGTCTCTGAGTCAGTAGAAGGCAGCTTCATGTGTTCACGTGTGACAATGAAATGTACACTTAAATTCCATGGCACACCACCTAGTCTAGTGCCGAGGAGCTCTTCTGCCCCAAGCTGAAGTAGTAAAGGAATTGAAAGAAGGGGACTCCTCCCCCAAAACCCAGCACCAGCCACGCCTCCCGAGACCCACCTTCTGATAGCTTGACTTCCGTCGATAGTGGTTCTGCTCAGGTCTCCTGCGCTGGAGCACGGGGCTGCCCCCATTGCTGCTGCTGCTACTGCTGCTGCTGTTTGAGGTGCCGCCGTCCTCAACGGAATCTGGCAGCTGCATCCCAGACTGACGCAGAACGACAAAGTTGACTCTTGCTTCACTAGACTGCCGGGGAAAGCCCAAAACAGAACAGTTAATGAGGCATTCTTGCAGAGTGAGGGTCGGTCACCCCCCCCCCAAGGTGGCACCCACCAGCACCTTTTCTGGTGCCAGCTAAAGGGTTCTAGGAAGTGGGTATTGCCAGGCTGGGCTTCTGCCCAGCAGGATTTCCGACTGGCCACTGGAGATCTGATTGGTTGTGCAAGTTTTTAAAAGGTTGTTCTGGCACCAGCTGCCAAAACAGGGATCTTCACAAAGTTCTTCACCGTGAGACTGAAGGTTAGTTGTGCATGTGTAAGAAAATGTATGTTCATTTTAAAAGGCACCTCATTAAAGCAGAGCTCCGGCCCGAAATGCCGTTAGAGTTATGTGGAAGACGTTTTCTGGATGTCCGTCCTACGGGGTCACAATTCCAAAGGTGCCTGCAGGCTATCTAAAGCTGGCAACCCCTGTTGCAGGGGGAGTAGAGCCGTGGTGTAATGGATCAGTTTGGGATGTGACCTCTATTGAAGACAGTGTGCTTTTCCTTCCAGTCCTTCTGTCTCAGCCCCACTGCATTTATGTTGCTTTGCTAGGACTCCCTGCTGTTAGACGTTCATGTTATCATATTGTGTCATCTGCCTAATGACTGACGGAATATCTCCCTTTTACTAGGAATCTTTACTGTCAGATTTAAATGTTATCGTTCAAAGACTGTTATCAAAGGTTATCGTATTTTTTTAATCGGTACCCATGGTGTGGCAGAAGTCACGAGTAGACAAGAACTGCCGCAGTTCATTAGAAGACGTTTGAGAGACTTTGACTATGAGAGCACGTCAATTAAGAGCCCGGAGAGTGTGCTCAACCTTTTCAGCAGGCATTCAGCCACCAACAAAAATGCCAGACCACTTATCTGAGATAATTCTTCCAAAGCACAGAAGGGCATTCATGCCAGCGCCCCGAATGCCCTACCTTCAGCTGTGAGGTCAGGAAGGTTTAATGGGATTTCATACTCAGATCGACTCTGTAATTGTGGATTGACTCTGTGGATCGACTCTGTAATTGACTCTGTGGATCATATTTTGCTTGATTGTCCCAGATTTTCAGCTCTAAGAGATGAACTGATCTACCCTTTATTTAACCAGGACTTCCTCTGTCCAGAAGCAAAATCATCCTGGTTACTTAGAGATGAAGACAAACAAGCAAATCACATGACAACTTTCGCAGTGGCAACCTTTAAATTCTTCCATGTTTTCCTGTGGAACAAGGTTCATTGCGGGATGAGGGTTTGCTGTTTATGACTCCGTTTGCAAAAACAGTAAAGACAATACAATATAAATTTTGTAATTGGCCTACTGATTAACTGAATACTTCTATCATACTTGTAATCCAGCTTCAGTCACAGTAAGAAAGGCAGACTCTAAATGAAAACACTATTCTACCTGCTAGGGAATGTGGAAGGAGAGGGACTGTCAAATTGATCTGTGTGTGGGGAGACTGAACATGGAGAAATCTCCAAAAGTAAGGGTAACTAAAGTACTGTGCCATGAGAAGAAAAGTAAATATCCATATTGGATGTCCAGTAGGCAGACACACAGACAACTGAGAAGGGAACACACTGTAGAATTCAGATGCTAGGCACAAAGTTGGGGAATGTGAATTCCCAAGTGGACTCAGGGGATGTTCTGGTGTGATACAGGACAGCTTCTCCAGGGTCAATTCCATTCCATGACAGGAAAGCTAGAATACACAAAGCTGCCTTATACCGAATCAAGGTCAACCAAGGTCAGTATCGTCTGCTCGGACTGGCAGCAGCACTCCAGGGTCTCAAGCAGAGGTCTTTCATTTATTTAAAGTATCCATAGCCTGCGTTATTGCAACAAACTCAAGGCGGCTAACAAAGCAGCAGAAGCTGTAGAGAGCAAACTTCACAAGGGTCCAATAAGTTAAAACCATTACAGAATTCCAGGCACAGTGTTAAAAACCAGTACACAGAGTTAACACTGCAAGAACACTTTCCCTGCCACCAAATGACCTCAGGAACAAAACAGTCTTGCACGCCTTGGCCAGTAAAAGCACCTGCCACACCCACTCTGGCATGACATTCCAGACTCCAGAAGAATGGGCCTAGCACTGAGAATGCCCATGACTGGACTTTTGCCAAACGGACAGTCCTAGGGGAAGATACCACCAGGAGAAAGCTGACTAAAGAACACAATGGTTGCATAGGAACACACCGGGAGAGGCTGTTTGAGAGGCCTTTCACATCACCTCCCTTTGAAATGGAGATTCTGGGGACTGAACCGAGGACCTCGGGCATGCAAAACAGATGCTCTGCTACAGAATCGCAGCCGCTCCCTATTCTCCATCAGGGCTTTTAAAAACTGGTAAGAGCTAGAGCACTATAATGTTATAACGATCTTGCACTAATGTACTAGTTGCCAGTTTTCGTTTCATGTCTACCATGTTTCATTGCAGAATTATAAAGAGAAATGTGTAAGCCAGTATATTTCCCCTTATAACTCCATAACAATGGTCATTTTACACATCAAACCAATAAGAAGCTGAATTTATGGCCTACTGTACCCATAACAATAGATATATCACATACCGTATTGTATCATATTTATAAAGCACAATCTCAAGAGGCCATTTTGTGTCTTCTAATGGTCCTTCGTTTACACAGAACAGCAGCCTGTTTTCATGTTTCAAAGCAGCTTATAAATTTTGAGATGTCAAATGTGTGGGCTTCAACATGCATGTTTGCTTAAAAATTCAGGTTTCATTTTAAAGTAAAGTTTTCGAATGGTTTTCTTTAAGTTTATAGCATACCAGATACGTTTCAAGGTGCTGGTTTTGACCTTTAAAGCCCTATGTGGCCGGGGGCCTGCCCATCTGAAGGACCGCCTTTCCCCACATGTCCCCCAGAGAGCACTGAGGTCGCAAATCCATTTGGCCCTTCCTGGACTGAAAGATGCCAGACTGGCCTCTACCAGGGCGAAGGCCTTCTCAGTGGTGGCTCCACACTGGTGGAATGAGCTCCCGGAGGACATCAGGGCCCTGCGGGACCTTTTACAGTTCCGTAGGGCCTGCAAGACGGAGCTCTTCCACCAGGCCTTCAACTAGGAGCCGCCACTAATAACACCAATAACATCAACAACTTCAACAATACTAACTAAACTGAATAATACCAACTAACTCTGCCGGATGCTGACCGGGGCCATTTTTTGGGAACATCTATCATGGTCACTGGGCTGTTATTGCTACCAGCACTTTGTTTTCATTTTATTCTATTTACTGTGAGCTATGACTTATTATGTTTGTGTTTTATATTTTTAACCCGGTGGGATAAAAATTGAATAAATAAATAAATATAAATAAGTTGGCACAATTTGCATCTCAATTTTTTTTGGAAGCAGAGTTGTGCCTGAGGCCTTTTTGTGGAGCTGATATGTGACTAGGGTTCAATTTAGTCCTTTTACAGGGCAGTCCGAAGCGGGTCTATTCAGAAGGCTACAGAAATGTACTCAGTGAGGCTGACTCCCAGGTAGTTATTCTTAGGATTGCTCTGTTAATCATATCACTGCGGTTGTGTTTTATGTTGTTAACTGCCTTGACCACACTGTTCTCAGTCACCTTCGGCTCCCAAGTGGAAATGTAGGACAGGAATATTTTAATACATAGGGTGGGGGCTGACTCCACAGTACATCCAGAATGCCCTTGCAGTGCCCACTCTCCACCCAGTTCTGAGCACTCAGAACACACACAGCTCTGCTGTTCCACAATGGAACTTCACATCTTATTGGAGAAGCAAGGCCAAGGCTGTAGTTTAAAGGGACTACACAAGGGAGCCCAAAACAGCTGACCAGTGGGGAGACTGCTCAGCTGTTTTTCTGGCTGTCTACGGCAGTCTCTTTAAAGTTTAAAGGGACTGCACACAAGACAGCCTGAAGCAGCTGAGCGCTGGGCAACATCTCCCTGCCACTCAGCTGTTTTTGCAGCTTTTGCTGGGAACAAAAAGAGCAGGGGTTTAAAGGGACCCCTGCTTTCTGCTCCATCCACAAACTGCCACAAACTGCTTCAAAAGTTTGCAGAAGTTCACAACGGTAGACCTGCCACAAACTTCTGCTTGTGAACCATGAACAGGGCAAAGTTTGTGATGAATTTTGCTTCGTGGTTCGGTTTATGCCCATCCCTGTTCACTAACACTATGTTTTGAGCCTCACAGTCCTTCCTCAAAGTCAGGAAATCATTAACAGAGCGTCCGCATACTTTTGGATTATTTTCTGTATCGGTATTCACAACAGAGAAATATTTGTACCAACTACAGACCAACTTATCAAAGCTGGTCTCACCCTTCACTAACTTTCAAAACCTGCCGGTGGCCAAACTGGTTTCTGTTTTGCTTCTCAATCTGTCACAGTTCCTTTTTAAGTCAAAGCAGCCGTCACACTCCCCAACAGAACTAATGCCATCACTTCACAGGCTGACAGCAAATGGAGGCCCAAAATGACAAGGCCCACGTGCTGGGAGAAGAAGTGCAGTGAGCTGGTTAGAACGCTGCACAAGGACAAGAGAGACACAAGGACAAGAGAGACCCAGGTTCGAATCTCCACTTAACCATAATGCTCATTGGCTGACCTTGAGCCAGTTCTTTTCTCTGTGCCTAGCCTACTACATAGAGCTGCTGGGAGGATAAAGTGAAGAAAGGGATTCTGCCTCAAGCTTCTTAAAAAAAAAAGAAATGGGTATCAGTACAGCACAGTGAAGTAGCCTCACACTAAAGCTTTCAGGCAGAGAAACCCTGAGAGCCCGATATTCTACAGCCACTATTCTAGGTGCATTATGAAACAACACATATGCTAACTATACACTGGCATGTGATACAACCCACAGGCTCCATAACCGTCTAGAAGGCACAAATGCTTTGGAAATGTTTTGTACAAGGGAACCCCGACATGGTGTCCACCAATGCCTTTCCTGGCACCCACCAACCGTGTGGGGCCAGGTAGAGCTTTCAGCTAGCAAGGCTTCTGATTGGCTGTGCGGATTTTTTAAAAGTTGCTTCAGCAGAAGCTGGAACGGTACCACAAAGATCTTCACTGCGTGACTGATGGTACGTAGGGAGTACGCAAGAGAATATTTTAAAGCCATACGTTCATTTTAAAAAACACCCTGTTGAATACAGCTCCTAGCCTAAAATGTTGAAGAGTTACTTTCAAAGTTATAGATGACCTCCCTCCCTGCCAGTCTGTCGCCAACGCCACCTCCCAAGGCAGCCATTTTGTGGCTGCGCCCACACCTGTGCGCCAGAATTCCAAACATGGAAAAAGGTTGGGGACCTCTGCTTTATACAAAAGAGCACATAATCCATACATATTTCCAAGGAATGCAAGGTGGTGGTGGTGCAAATTCAGATCAGCCGGGTTTGTTGAGGGGTCTTGATGCCTGAAATGTCAAGTCTGTACACACCAGTTCTTAAAGCAACCCTGCTTTATCAAGACCTCCCATTTCTCAAGCAGCCAAGTCAGTCTATTTTACACTAATAAAAACAAGATAACTTCCAAGATAAACTTCCAAGAACATCCACCAAGATTGCAATTGCCGTATGAGATGCAGTTGCGTAAGTGAGACAGATTCCCCTTGAATACAGTTGATGATGTAATTTGTGAACAGTGACGCAGAGGATCTTTCCTGCAACCCAACCACTCCGGTTCATGCCGTATGGAAGTGCACCTTGACATTCAGACGTTCTTTAAAGTGAAAGAAACTTCCCCTCACCTTTACCCTCCGCCTCTTTCCTGTCATTCCTTTCCAGACTGCTTCCATTTTAATTCTGGAATGTAAATCATGCTGACCAAAGTATTGCTTATGCAATATTTTTTTTAAAAAAAATAACACCTTTTTAAAAGCTGGAGGCTCTGAACTGCCTCTCTGATGTTTATTCCCGGGGGAAACCAGCACAAGTTATCCTGTGACAAAAGGCAACGTTATGGTTTCCTTTTATTCACTTGCTCCTCAGGCAACCCAAAAAAATAAAGAATTGCAAGGAAAACATTTGGTGTGGCTGCTCTCTCTCTCTGTGTGTGTGTGTTCCCGTCCCCCCTGGGAGGGGCTTAGCAGAAGACTGCCTGCCTCGCACACCCAAGGCCCCATTTCCCATTCCTGGCATCTCCAGTTATACGGGCAGCAAGGCTGTGAGAAGAACAAGAGACCTTGGAGAACAGCTGGAAGTCAGACCTGACAACACTGGGCGAGAGACTGACTCATCCTAAGGCCACTTCATGTGTTTGTATGACAGACACTTCCCTATTGCAAAATGTGAACATTCCTGTGATCAGTTCATAACAACATGGGCTGTTCCATTATGTAATGTTACCTGGATTATCTGTGCGGCTATCTCAGGTGTTCCTTGTCGTAGATCCTGCCCATTGATAGAAAGGACTTTATCATTCCGACTCAGCCTCCCATTCTTGGATGCCAAACCTCCATCTAGCAGGTCCAGAATGAAAATCCCGGGCTCGTCAGATTTTCTGATCAGTTTGATACCAAGGGGTTCAGACTGGTCTCTCTTCACGAGAGTGACGTGGATCACTTCCTGGTTTATCGCAGGGCTGGAATCTGGTTGCCCAGGCTTGGTGGTGAACCCTTTCTCTTGCAGCACTAGGAGGTGGAGTCCCGCACAGGGCTGGCGCAGCAAGGAGATAGCTTGGCTATGAGTCACACTGCTAATGTTGACACCGTTCACCTTGGCAGAGGGATAAAAACACTGCTGATTAGAATGGCATGGCTGGCAGCTCGTGATACCTCCCTACCCCAGTGTCCCTCCCCAGCTCCCCACTTGCATGCAAAGAGAAAGCACAGGCCACAAAGCCCAACGGGAGGCTGGAGGCCACAGGCAGAGTTCGCTTTCGTGGGTTGCTTTTGTTGCCACAGCTAAAGCAAAGGCAAAAGAAAGCCGAATGTGTCCTTTGACTTCAGAAAGGAATGTAGGGCAAAAGCCAGTGATGGAAGGCAGGAGGAGATTATCACCAGGGAAGCACAATGAAAGTTCTTATCAAGATCCGAAGAAAGTAGATCAAGAGCAGGCCCCCCCCCCTACACAAGTCGGGAGACACCCACAGAAAGCCACAGCACACAAAACGGTGAAATGCCACGAAGCTCTAAGCAAAAGCCAGTTCAAGACAGCCCTTGACTATCACTGGTTAAATTGTTCTTGCATTCCCATCCCTGACGACCCATCATCTCCTATATTACTTAATTCCAAGGTTTAAGTCAGAATAAACCAACTATTTTTCAAATGGCAGCTCATCTTTTACACTGTTCAATATCTTAGACTTTACCCAAACCCTCACCTCCAGGATATGGTCTCCAGGTGCAATTCTGCCATCAGTGCCAACAGCTGAATCACGGAGAACTTCTTGGATGACGATGTTGCCAAGTGGCGTGTCTTTACCACCAACTATCCGCATCCCAAGGTCTTCCTCGGGGTCATCTCGGTGAATTTCAATTAAACTGGTCTCCGCTAAAAGACTAGCTCTCTGAGGCAAATCTGATTTTGAAAATTAGAGAGAGATGCAGTTGCAGATCAGTGCAAAAGGTTTTAAAATGCATAAAATAAGCGCACACAATAAAAGCAAAAACAGCAAGTGAAAGCAACAAAGAAGGGGACTGAGAATAAAAGAGCCAGAATCACAGTGCCTTTACATAAATATGTAGTACTGCTACATTTGGAATACTGAATAGTGTTCCATTCATCCCATCTCTAAAAGACAATCACAGAGCTAAAAAATTGGAGAAAAGGCAATCAAACGCTGAAGGGGGTTGGACCACCTTCCATATGAGGAAAGGCTACAGAATTGCTGTTGTGGGGCAACACCAGGGGGAGGCTTGGGCATCAGAGCCCTGCTGGAGAGACTCCATTTGGTTGGGCACCACAAAAAACACAGGGTGCTGGACCAGCAAGGCTTTTCCTGTATTCTTAACTATTTGAAGCTTCTGAAATTCTGCTTTTGCAGAATTTATTCATCATAAGGGAGAGCGATTATGCAAAACACTGAAGCCCCACCCCCAAGCCACCCTTTATTTGGCCTCCTCTCTGGTTTTCAGGATTTCCGCAGACATTGCCAGCCCCATACACTTTCAAACATACATAACTTTGTAGCCATCAGGGATAGAAACTCATTATTGTTAAAAAGAAAGCTAAGGCTCTGCACCTTTTCTATACCATGGTGAAAATGTAGCATAAACATAGCCCTGCATATAAAGCTGCAAACTTCCATCTCTCCTTCAAGGCCAATCGATTCTCATAAGTACGTCAGGTGGGAAGAAAACACACTTAATTTCGGCACATTGGCCTGCAGGGTGCAGCTGGTTTCAAACACAGGGTCACTTTCTCTGGCCACTAAATTCCAATCTGAGAGAGAGACAGAGAGAAATGCATACCTTCTTCACTCCCATCAAAAGCTGGATTAACCAGCCCAGGTTCTGCGGTCTCCAAGGATACCACAGCAGCAATCGAGCTTCCAGCCACCAGCGTTGACAGCCCGTTCACTACCTCAGGCTCTTTCGGAGGATTTGCTTCTGGCCTTGAAAGGGAATCTCCCTTCAACCTGGAGCGAGGATTCTTCTTGCTTTCTAGCTGAGCTATGTATTTCCTGAAGCCAGGGCACCTGCAGGGGAAGGCAAAGGAACAACTGAAAGGAGCTGTGTGTGAAAGGAGCATGCAAGCAGTTCAGGAGGCATCACAAGTCTATTCAGGCACCTTTGTACTGGGGAGGGGAGGGGGAACACCAGGATTCAGGCTTCCCATCTGCTAGCCTCACCCCCTCCACACACACAAATAAAACAGAACAATGAGTTTAATAAACCAAAGAAAAGGAGAAAGATAAAGGCCTCGCGTTAAAAAAAAATTACTAACCAAGTCTTGCTATTTCAAATAAATGCAAGACTCTTTTAATGCTGAAAAAAATGCTTTGACTCCAGAAAGTCAGCAGAACAATGGGCACGAAATGGGCAGATGGGTTACCTGTGACGTCAGGCTTTAAGAGAGACTCTGGATGTGCCCAGATGTTTCCTAATGGTTTCTGCCAGGCTAATTACATAAAAGGTTGCCGTGATTATTTACTTGGCTTGGCTCAAAGAGGCTTTCCCAATGTTGAACTCCCTCTAGGGCTGCCAGGGAACGAATGAGCATGTGAATTAACACTCCCTGCAACATATTTTCCAGAAGCATTACAGCCCAACCTAGGAGATGGTAGGAGGGAGAAGAATGGGAGTCACCGGTGAGGCATGAGGAGGACATTTGCAGGCACTACGTGCCAGTAACTTCAGAAGGATTTTTCTTTGTTAGCAGGGCAAGTCAACAAACACCTCTTGTAAACAGGAAGACTGTGACAACCAGGGGCAACGGCTAAGTAAAAAGCATGCTGTAATATCTGCAAAAAGGTGTGGTGTAGTGGTCAGACATTGCCTGCTTTCAAGCACAACTTTGCACCCATCTTCTATACTCTTGTGAAAATGCAGCATAAACATAGCCTTGCATACAAAACTGTAGGGCCCATGGCTCAGAGGTAGAGCATCTGCTTGGCACGCAGACGGTCCCAAGCTCAATCCCTGGCGTCTCCATTTGAAAGGACCAGGCAGTAGGTGATGTGAAAGACCTTTCTCTGCCTGAGACCCTGGAGAGCTACTTACTGCCAGTCTGAGTAGACAATGCTGACCTCGATGGAACAAGGGTCGGATTCAGTAGAAGGCAACTTCATGTGTTCATGTGACAATGACTGGAGAGACCCAGGTTCAAATATGTGTTGCTCACAGGGTGACCCTGCCACAGTCACTATCCCTCAGCCTACAACAGAGCTGTGGTGAGGATAAAATGCACTATTTGTTCTCCTTCTTTGGAGGTAGGGAGGGACAGAAACAATAAAGACTAGTTGTTGACAACTGTAGGTATCCTACAGCCTTACAAACGAAAATGCACAATGTGGTTGTGACGATCTACTGCAATTCTAGTTCTTCTTTTAAAAAATAAATTGCCACCACCTAGTTTATACCTGGTTAAACCTCTCTACTTAAAAATGCATACATAACCCTTACTGCCCACCCCAGTTCTTAATTTGGCTTCATTTTCTTCCTACAGATTAAAATGTAACTCAACCCTGGTCATTTCAGTCACATGAAAACCTGGAAACTCTGAGCTTAGTAAACATGTTGAGGAAAGCGATCTGATAACAGTTAAGACTGTCGGCGACTCAAGAAAACAACCTTCTGCAAAGTACATGTGAAACTGGCCATCTGAAGGACCACAGACACCGCAAGGATTAAAAGCAGCCCTGTGGGACGAGGCCCAGTCTAGCCCAGCAGCCAGCCCTGGATTGGTTTTGCTTGGCCAAGCCACTGAATGGGCGGGTGTCCCACGGGGACCTGGCTCACTCCCAGCCATCAGCATCCCAGGAGGCAACAAGCACCCCACCTTCTAGCCTGCATCACCACTGGCCAGATCCAAGCCAATTTCTGCAGTAATGCCACAGGGGCTTGGCTTGGGCTTGGCCAGTAACAAGTACGGGTGGGGACAAGAATACCTTGCTCGAGGAGACAAAATATGAGCCCTGGGCCAGCTGGATGCCCCCTGGAAAACCAGGGAAAACCTGAACACTGAATTAATTCTGTGTGGCATTATAGCTCTGCCTTCACACACTGACTTCAACAGCTGTGTTAGAGATACGATTTTTGTGCTATCTTGCTCGGAAAAAATGAAGCCCATCATTCAACGTCACACTTCAAGGACACCGCAACCACAGTCTTCAAACCACATTATTTCATAAGTGTGTACTACTATCAACAGCATACATTACCAGAAGTGCATTACCATTTCAATGTATATGTTTTACATTCCAGCAGAAGAACCAAAGTTTTAACTCTGTTCATTTGTCTTCCCAGTCAGTAGCAGGGATGCTACTCTCTGTGATCCAAAATATTAAACTTCTAAAATAAGACTGAGGACAAATGTTTGTAACTGGTAACTGTAAAACTGACATGCTTTCTCGTGACATGCTATGGGATGGCTCAATTCAGACATCAGACCAAATCATGCTGATGGAGACGTAACTGTGTGACATCTGAATTGACCAGCTATAGTTTGCGGATCAGAAGTAGGTTTGCACTATGATTGGGAATTAGGAGTTCTAAATGAAGGATTTATTTATTTCTCTGGTTACAAAGAAAGGTTTGGCATGACATCTACGTACTTATGTAAGTGCCATCAAAGTCACAACCAACTGAATCATAGAATTACAGAGTTGGAACGGGCTGTACAGGCCACCGAGTCCAACCCCTGCTCAATGCAGGATCAGACTAGAGAATCCCTGAAAGGAGTGTTTGTCCAGCCGCTGCTTGAAGACTGCCAGTGAGGGGGAGCTCACCACTTCCCCAGGCAGCTGATTCCACTGCTGAACAACTCTTACTGTAAAAGTTTTTCGTAATATCCAGCCGGTACCTTCTCGCCCTTAATTTAAACCCATGATTGCGAGTCCTCTCCTCTGGTACAGACAGGAACAGCTCCCTGCCCTCCTCTAAGTGGCAGCCCTTCAGATACTTAAAGAAAGCAATTATGTTCCCCCCCAATCTCCTCTTCTCCAGACTAAATATTCCCAAGTCCCTCAGCCTCTCCTTCAGGCCGCCGATCATCCTCGTCACTCTCCTCTGCACCCACTCCATTCTGTCCACATCGAACTATTGATAAGAATAACTGATGGTGACCCCAGCAAAGAGGCAAGTGAGAAGCAGAGGTGGTTTGCCATTGTCTTCCTCTGCAGAGTGTTTCTTGGTGGTCTTGCATCCAAGTACCAACCAAGCTTAGCTTTTGAGATTTGATGAGATAGGGCTATACCATGCTGCCTTCCCTCCCACATGATGTCTAGTTCCAGACATGAGGGCCATCTCACCCTATCAGAGGCTGTTTGCACACTGGAGACAGGAATGAACACTTGAAGCTGAGTGCTGAGAAGATGGAAAGCATATATTGAGAAGCAGTCCTGAACTGGCTCAAAGCATGATTTGACATCATGTTTAAATTAACTGCTTGAAGAAAGGTAGACAAAGCTTATTTTTTAACTTCCAAACCGATGCATGGCAAGATTGCATCTACTTCCTATTGTTTCCAATAACAGCAAAGAGCTTGAAGTGCAGCTCTGGAAAAGCTCTGCGTGGGCACTCCATGAAATTGCCGATCGTTCGGGTTAGAACAGATAAAAGGAAGTACTTCTTCACATAAAGAGTGATTAACACATGGAATTCACTGCCACAGGAGGTGGTGGCGGCTACAAGCATGGACGGCTTCAAAAGGGAATTAGATAGGGGCTCTGGGGCAAGTGATGCTCTGTCTTCTTAGTGCTTGGGGGGGGCAACAGTGGGAGGGCTTCTAATGTCCTGGCCCCACTGGTGGACCTCCTGGTGGCACCTGGTATTTTTGGCCAATGTGTGACAGAGTGTTGGACTAGAAGGGCCTTTGGCCTGATCCAACATTGTTCTTTTCAGATCACTTAAAAATAATACTGAATCTACATAATTTGTTGTTGTTGTTGTTCAGTTGCAGTCGAGTCCGACTCTTCACGACCCCATGGACCACATCACGCCAGGCCTTCCGGTCTTCCGTCGTCCTCCAGAGTTTGCTTAATTTCATGCTCATTGCATTGATAACACTGTCTAACCATCTCATCCTTTGCCGTCCCCTTCTTCTGTTACCTTCAATCTTTCCCAGTATCAGGGTCTTCTCCAGTGAGTCCTCCCTTCTCATTTGGTGGCCAAAGTATTTGAGCTTCAGTTTCAGTATCTGACCTTCCAGGGAACAGTCAGGGTTGATTTCTTTTAGGATTGACTGATTTGATCTCCTTGCAGACCAAGGGACTCTCAAGAGTGTTCTCCAGCAGCATAATTTGAAAGCATCTATTCTTCGGTGCTCGGCCTTCTTTATGGCCCAACTCTCGCAGCCATACATCACTACTGGGAATACCATTGCTTTGACCATATGGACTTTTGTTGGCAGGGTGATGTCTCTACTCTTTATTATGCTGTTTAGATTCGCCATCGCTTTCCTCCCAAGGAGCAGACATCTTTTAATTTCATGGCTGCAGTCACCGTCTGCAGTGATCTTGGATCCCAGGAACATGAAGTCTGTTACTGCTTCCACGACTTCCCTTTCTATTTGCCAAGGAGTCATGGGGCCGGATGCCATGAACTTAGTTTTTTAAAAATATTTTTTATTGATTTTCAAATATTATAATACATAATAATTTACTGAACTCGTCTTTCCAGTAGAATACATAGATATAATGAAAGTCAGTAGTTAATGTTCAGGAACTAAACAATTTTAACAACAATAAACTCAACTAATAGATTCAGTATATTACCAAGACGATAGCATTAAAACATGAATACATTATCGCCCCCTACTCATTATTAATTTTTTTTTCTGACCATATAATCATTCACATATAGAGTTTAATCTGGTTTAACTATTTCTCAGCGTGTCATTAAAGAATTCAACCTGTTTTTTAAAAATTACAGTACTGACTATTTTGTGCATGTCCAGTCTGTTCTAGTAAAGTTTCCAGTTTTTCCAGTATTGGGAACCACCTTTCGATATAGTTTGTACGATTTGAAGAGGGGTCTG